ATATATATAGACACTCATGATCACGTACAGCTATATAGCCGGCCTATAGTATGTATATATAACCACTAGCTAGTTATTCTATATTTGCATGATCTAGCGTATGCATTATTGAAGCCAGTTTCCATTTCGAAAGTAATGATAATATTTTGAACCATGGCTCTCTTCAGTGAGCGCATCATCTTAGCACGAGAAGCCCTTCTTGCAAGATCGGCTGCCCTCTTCTCCTTAGCCTCCAAGTCCTCCTCATCCTCAGGAAGGGCGACTTGCAGAGCATCCTTTCGAGCCTCCAAGAAGATTGGGTTTATGGGACTTGCGGGTTCCGGTGGGCTAGGCTTCGGGGCTGCAGATGTTACAAGCTTTAGGGGTAGTACCAGCAGGGCCACTCTAGAGAATTATATAGCTCGGGCTACTATTGTAGAAAGCTTGGAGCCACTTGGCTGGGAGGTTTCTAGTCAGGGTCTTAGCATCAGCAGGAGATCGGGGTTCAGCGTTTTGGGTCAGGGTCTTGGCATAAGGTGTTGCGATACTAGAAGCTCTGGGCATATTAGCAATTTTGAAGACTAGGCCCTAGGCGATGTAGTAAGCTTGCAATGCCAAGCCCGGTCATCACAACACCCACGGGTACCCACAACCACTAAACCTCGAAAGACACATACAGCATCATTAATCAATGAGAATTTCTTCTGACCTTACAACAAATTTAAAGCTGCCTCCTGAGCCGGAACTTCTTGGACCTTCGGCACAGCCTGTCGAGCTTCCAGAGCCCTCTCCTTGACACAGGTCAGATCGGTGGCTGGGGCTTCGGGATTGCAAAAGCTAGCTAGAAATTAGGCTATCAGTAGCAGACTTTATCAACAGCTTTGAGTCACACAGTCCTGGATGTCATCAGTCCCCAGTCTGTGCAGAGCATGATCGACAGCTGAGCAAGCAGGCCCTTGTTTCCCAGCCGATACCATGTATGGATCATCCTTGCACAGGTCGATCTCCCTAATAACAGGACCCCATGAAATCGTTCGCGGAGCCTTCTGTGGGCTAGCCAAGGACTCCAGCTTCAGGGCATCTGCAGCCACTGACCTGACTGCGGCATTGCTGGCCACGGGCTGCTCGTCTGGCATCTCGATCTTGAGCATAGCCTGCAACATTAGTGTTACTTAATTAGGCCTTGGCCTCATGGTATAATGCCTAGTCCAGCACAATTAAGATGGGGGAGGTTAATCAAGATGGGGTAGGTTAAGGTAGGGGTCTTAAGGAGTTGTTCTAGGGACGGTGGGGTAGGCTAAAGTCCGGGGCTTAAGTCTAGGCCAGGATTTGTTCAAGAGACGATGGGGTGACTTAAGTCCGGGGCATTAGTCTAGTCCAGGATTTGTTCTAGCGGGGATGGGGTAGGTTTAAAGTCGGCCTCTAGCTGACTGACGAGCTCTTCATCCGCAATGTAATCATCACAGTCGACAATGGGCACCTGTTTGGGTTTTTATAGTCGATCACTATATTAAATTTACTATATTATCGTCATATCATGATATATACAGATATAATTATATAGAGAAAGGTTCTTACAACTAGCTAGATAATATTCTAATTATATATTATAAACACTATCTTATATATATATATATATAGAATATGTATATATTTCCTAGCATTTAAAAGAAACTGTCCGCCCACCTCATGCTGCACCCCCAGATCATCTGTTGCATGCACCTGCTGAGCCAGTGTAGGTCCCACCTGACCATGCTGATGCCCCTGAGATTCTGTCTGAC